ATTTAAAAGCCTTTGGATTTTAATTAATCAAAGAATTCAAAAATTATTATGCTTTATCTTTTCTACATACATAGACCTATTTAGTATAAAAAATTACTAAGTGTTGGTCTTTTTTAATAGATAAATTCTATGCTTTAAAAATGTCAATTCTTGCCTTAGATTCTTTATTGCTAGTTTTTTAGTTGATTTTTAAAATAGAATAAATAAAGAATAATTTCAAAATAAAAAATATTTATATTTTTACTATATTATATGAATATCAAGATAAATAAAAATTCAAATATACGAGTATAAAAATGAATATCCTCTTCATTTTGAAAATTAAGATTAACATTAGCCAAAAGATTTTTTTTTATATTTTAAATGTACTAATCTAAATTTCAGTAATTTAGACTTGTCAAAATCCTTTAGAGAGTTTGATCAAGATTGGAAGTCAACTCTAGAAAGTTTCTAAAGAAGTTAAACTTAAACCTAAACCATTAACTAAAAATCTCAATACAATTAACTTTTACTAAATATGTGAATTGAACAAAATCTTGAACGGAGAGAATTATAAGTTAAAATAAAAAAAACCATGCTTTGATTAATATAAAGATGATAAGAGAAAGAAAAAAACAGTATTCAATTAGGTTTTAAAATAACCAATTTAGATAAGACATAAGATTTCTATCAGATTGACAAAAGTACTGAAGAGAAGAAAGATCCTTCTACTTTGGTTTGCTGTATACTTATTTTACTTTTAATTGATTATAATAGCTAGTTTTTTGCTTAAATAGTTTTTGTTTTTTGTTTTTGTTTTTAATTCTATGTTCTAAATTATTCTGTTGTAATTTGAGTGTCTAGTTTTTAATTGGATTGGATATGTCTAACCCATCTTAGATTTTTTTTACTTCAGTCCTACTGGTTATGGTCCAATGCAAAATCAATTGGCTCAACTAAGTGTTAGTCTTTTTTATTAGGTAAATTCTATACTTTAAAAATATTATAACTTATCTTAGGTTCTTTATTGCCAGTTTTTTTTGTTGATTTTTAATATATAAATAAGCATTCAGACTTTTAAATAAAAGCAAGATTTTTCAATGTCAATATATTATATTAGTTCTAAGACAATTAAAATATTGAAAACTATTATTGTAAATATAAATGTTTTCTTTAATTTCAAGAATGAAGATTAACATTAGCCAGAAGACTTTTTTTTCTTCTTATAGCTCTATTGCAAGATCATATGATCGAAGTTTTGGTAACACATTTGTATTCTTTCTTTTTAAATGCATCCTTAAAGCTATCACATTTTTCGAAAAATTCTTTGATACATTTTATATTTAGAGTTTTTAATGGCATCTCATAAACCACTAGTATTGTAATTCTTTTAGGTTTTTTAAAGATACTTTGGCTTTGAAACTTATTACTTCTTATATATATATATATATATATATATATATTTCATTTTTTGAAATTACCAATAATATCACCACGTTAGATAATTCAAACTATGGAAAAATAAGATTTATAGGATTTTGAAGAAAATTAGATAACATTAAGAGATTTTTCATTTTTTGATTCACTCCAATGCCTCCTAGAATTTACAATTTTTTATGTGAAAAATATTATTTAAAATATATATTTTTAAAATCATTTATTTATTCTATAAAATATATTTTTATAAAATGTACATATATTTTTAATTTTAATTTTAATTTTTTTGTTAAAATATTGTTTAATAAAAAACTTTAATGTTATAATATCTAAAAGTATTTAAAGCATAGATGTCTTCATATTATGTTTTGATGTTCACAAGAATTATAAAATAAGATACAAAATTAGGAAGTAGAAAAAGACTTTTTTTTTTGTAACAAGTTAATAGTATCTAGTTACTTGGATATTAATATGGTTAAATTTTATTTTTTTATAGAATTATGTCATCAATTAATGTAGTACCTTTAGTCCTCAAATTTTTTTGGTTAAAAGTACTTTATAATATAATTTAAATAATTATAATGAATACATATATATATATATATATATATATATGTATATATTATTCTATTATTACAAGGGCTGATTTTTTATATATAATTTTATTAATTTATTTAATTTATTATCTTAGTTTTATATAATTTTTTTTACTTGGAATTTGTTTTTGTATAAATTTGAAACAAGATCCTCCAAATCTACTATGTATATTTTTTAAAAGTCTTTTTAGTTGGTTTAGATTTTTTTTTTCTTTTTAAAAAAAACATTTTTTTCTCTATATCTTTGATGTAGTTTTTTTATGTGATATTAAGTTTTTTTTTATTCTTTCTTATTAGAATTTTATTTTATTTTTTTAAAATGCACATATTTTTAGTTATAAAATAAAATATTTTACATTTTTTTATTATAATAATGTAATTTTTAACCAATTTAAGTGTCGAAAAAATTTAGAAATTTATGTTTTAGACTATAACCAAAGAACTATTACAATCCTAAGAATTTTTTTAAAATCAATTAATTTTTTTTTTCTCTCATCGTTTTTTTATTTATGCTTAGGAGCAACAAGTAAGTGATATTATGAAATTTTGTATTGATTTATTTAAAAATTAATACGTTTTAAATACAACAAAGTCTAAATAAGATCATAGAAAAGGATATACAGGGTATGGTGTCTTGAATTTGATTCTTGACTTTTAACTTGATAGCTTGTACTTGATAGTTGGTTGAAGAGTTTTAAATTTATTTTGTAAATAAAGGTTTGTTTGGTTCTTTTCTTCTTCCTTGCTTTTATATCTAGTCATCTTTCTATTCTTACATTTCTTTAGATTAAAAGCACTAAAATATTTTGACTTTATGGAATTTAGCCAATTTACTTTTTTATAAAATAGTTATTATTTTTAGATTTTGACAACTATAGAAGAGATTGTTTTTGGCATCAACAAACTATTTTTCCAATCCAATAATTCTAAGATTTAAAAGACTAAATTGTTCCTGTTTTTCAAAGAAGCAAATATAAATTTATCTTTTTGACATATATCTTTTTATGATCTGTAAGAATAATATATTACAAAAAGATTATTTTAAAAAATAAAGAAATGAAGAATAAATCTTGAGTAAGAATATCTTTATCAAAAAATAGAATAAATCTTAAATGACCAGGTAGTATGTTATTATGATAAATTATGAAGATAGTAATTTTATTTTTCTTCCAAATCCACACATTGTGGATATTAGAATTTTAAAAGGACTTCAATATATGATTAGTAATACATTGGGTTCACTCCTTTGATGTTCAAATATGTATATATTTATATATATGGATATAAACTTTTGAATTTACCCAAAGTAACATTTGGATTAAATCCGATTTCAAATATTTATCTTTATTTGATCTTATTCTAGTGGTTGTTTAGCACTAGTCATTGTTCAATATCTAGTTACATTAAATTCCTACATCGTTAATTGTTTTATTTTTTGCATCTTAGTACTCCTTGATACTTTGTAAATTTGCAAAACTAGTACCCAACTTGCACTCTAACCTTTTTTAATTTCATCAGTCCATCATCCATGGGTGCCCACAGACACACATGTTGGATAGATGCCTCAATTTTTGTGAACAACTCATTGGCAGGCAACCACTTGTTGAGAGTCCCTAAAATATTGAAAGGATGTGTGCAAAGTTAAAAATTTAGGGATATAAAATGAAACTAATAAATTTTAAAAACATACACAAAACCATTTATTGGCATTTAGACAAAATTAAAAATTTACGAGTTATTTAATATTCTGATAAATGAGGCTCATTAAATTTTCTGTTCATCCAATACTAAAAAGCAGCTGGGTACCTATTCCGCTACAGCCTGACGCTGGTGCATTTTCTACAGAGAATATGCAGGGTTGCTCACCTTCCTTATATCCTCGATGCTTCATTCGCAAACTCTTTCTACACCACCTCTGACACCCCTGATCAACGGCTGTGGCAACTGTTTAGAAATTCCACAGTCCAACGGTGTGGAGCCGGGGACACCCTATAGTTACATGCAAAGGAATTGGGAGCATATTTTCTGAACGACATCGATGACAAAGAATTAAATAAATTTCATGACAACACCGCTTTTGGGGGTAGCGGAGGAACTGTTGCACCGTGAACCCTCCATGTTCACCACATCTGCATATAAAAAAAACAAAGCCTGAGGGCTTGTTAAAATAATCACCTCGCAGGTTTGGTCGGCATTCATGCATTCATGCTACAACATTGCTTCCGTATCGTAGGAGCCTGAGCTCAATCACAGGAATGATCAGGCATGGGAAACTTATGAGCTACTGTCCTGCAGGACAGCGGCACTGCAGGCCAGTACTCTAGAAACACCTTTAGTGGCCCTCTTAGGTTTTAAAAACGAGCCTCTGCTTCAGGTTCGTCGTCGTCGTCGGATGAATCTGTCACCTACACCTGAGTTGACATCGAAATTAGAACGCAGCTGACATACCTCAACCTGTCAGGCAACACGTTGCATCGAGAACGACCAAGCCCATGCAACGACGGTCGATGCTTGACCTAGATTTGAGGACTGTGTCAACGGATCGAGCTGGAACGGCCAATATTTTAGCCACTGACTGTGTTTTGGTGTTTATGACAGACCACGGCGTGAGATTTACCAATATCGTGGAGCTGGAAATGGATACGTGTCTCTTCCCTGCATTGTCCGACTTGCTTACAGCTTTACCTCGAGACGCGATATGACGAATCCAAGGCAATTAAAAATGCAGGGGTGGAGAGTTCAAGCGAGACGCTCGCTACTAGTTTAGCTTTGCGTCTCCAGAATCACAGATTTCCTGACAATTCCCTCAATCAGTTCATAGGTGTTCTTCAAGCTGGAGGCTAGTACCGAATCAAGAGGAACATTATTGTGGGCCCTGATATATAAAGCATCTGCTGCTGCCACAACGGCAACAGGTCAACTGTAGATTATCATGGGACTTTCCTTGATGATGCGGTTTCAGCAACAATCGATCAGCTTCTGGTGAGGGAAAGGTTTTGAAGGACTTGCATTCTATTCTCTTAGGAAACCTTTGAGGAATAGTTCGGTGTTTAGAATTGAGTTTCTTGTATTGGAGAGTAGTTGATTGATGTCTTTCTCAGCACGAGTTTTTGTCCGCACTTCAGCATTAGGTGGGTTTTGAGTTTGCTCTGGTGTTTTGAAGCTCCAGCGACGAATTCGGAACAGGTTGTGAGGAGTACCGACAATGTCTGACACTCCAGTGGTTGTGATTCCACGGAAAGGTTACGTCGATGGTCATCATGGATATCACCATTCCTACCACAGTGGCCTCAACCTTCTCCTTCGGTTGTTGCAAGCCTTTGCCACTGCTGCGGCGGTGATAGTTATGCTCTTGGCCACGCAGACCGAGTTCACTAGATATGGCGAAGTGAGGGGTCGGTGGAGGGATTACCCAGCTTACAAGTAAGCTTGATGGTTTGATGGTAGCCTATTTCTTGAAATTTTAAATTTCCCCTTACTAAATTACCAGAATTGTTTGGGAGAAGCTGTTGTTTGATGTTTTGGCGATGGTGCAGATGGTTCATTATCGCGAACGCTGTGGTGTTTGTGTACGCTTTGCTTGCAACTTTGGTGGCGTGCTGTGCATTGATTGCCAGGAGGGGTCCTCTAAGCTACTCTCCAAGCGCATGGTTAACATTCCTTTTGGACTTTGTAAGAGAAGTTGCTCGATATTCTCCTGTCGTGAACCTGCAAATGGAGTTGTAATGGTAGCTATTAATTCTGAAATATATGTGGGAAATTAGAATTCTCACCTTTGGACGTTCTTATTCGCAGGTAGCGGCGAGTGCTTTGATGTCAGCAGCATCAGCAGCTTTGGCTGTTGCCTTGATCGCGAGAAACGGCCAAAACTTGCAAGGACAGCATTACTGGCCCACATTTTGCAACTACGTGACTAGATTCTGCGACTATGCACAAGGGGCCATCATCGCTAGCTTCTGTGGCTTCGGGCTCCTAGCGCTGTCCACACTCTTGGCCGCTTCAGCTCTTCACCATCTGGCGTGGCATAGACTTCACTGAAGTGAATATCTGTGAATAAGCGGCGTGTTTCTCCAATTTACACTAGACAAAATATGTGCGGATTGTATCTATGTAATATATGTCTAGATCAAGTTCTGTGCGTAGCTGTAATTATGAATACTTCCCAAAAGGAACATGCTTCTTCCTCTGTCCACATCCGTGTAATTTCATGAAGAATTCATAATTGTTTGGTTACTATTAGCCGTCGAAGCTTGACGACGGCTAAGTTTTCCTCCATTCTTCCTCTCCTTGATTCCGACCAAGCTCTGCTGAGTTTTTTTCTCCAGTTCAAGTAGAGCGAACTATGTATAATAGCTTTAGAGGAATCTTTTCAGACCTCAACCTCATGACAAGCGACTGACAAACGTACGCGCATTATCGCGTCGATAACTGGAATAGAGTGCGAGTGTGGATGCAAAATTCTGGGGCACCACCATGCTGTTCCATTTTACAGTCTCCTAGCAGCGCAGACACTTCGTATTGGCTGCACTAATTGTCTAAAATTGAGTAGATGCTGCAGCACAGAAAACGTGTTCTGATTCTTACGATCTCTACGTTCAGGTGTTAGAGTATTTTCTCCACTTTGCTGCAAGTACCATGTTCCGGGTGACCCATCGTAAATGTAGTTCAGCGGCAGATGTGGCGCTTGATGCGATTCCTATCCTCATTCTCAAGTAACTCAGTGTTGGAGGTCTGATTAGCAGCATCGTAGACTCAGGACTGGACACAGGTGATCGAGGTACCGTATTGTTCTAATCACTCATGACAAGAGTATTGCGGCTCAGGGAAACAGGTCACACTGAGCCAGATGCAAAGAGAACAAATCAAAAGATGTCTTACCAAATCATCTCTCCTCACCAGTGTCTCCGAAGCGACACAATGATGAAAAATCCGTCAAAAGCTGACACACGATCCGAAGATGCTGAATAATGCGCTTCAAGATTGTTTGTTTTTATTATTAGTAGTAGTAGTATTTTAATGTAGGGACACGGATCTCCCCTACACAACATGAAGTGACAGTGGCACTTAAATTGTGGTGAGTATTGTGCGTAAGGATATGTTTGAACCCTCACCCCTCCCATACAACAGGATACTATTCTTGTTACGACTGCATCTGCTTCCACGTACCCAATGAATATGCCCAAATGACGCTAATTGGCGAGTAACTGACAATAGAACAAGTATTCTTCTTCGCATCCATCGAGAAATAACAACCACAAACAGACATGCACAGCTTTACTCATGAGTCTGCGTTAGCCAGTCGCAGATGAGACGGCATGCCAGAAATAACAGTCTACGACTCAAAAAGATAGTCTCAAGGAACTTTGTGGGTAGGCATTTTTTCTATCTTTTTACTTATTTATTTATTTGTTTGGTTTATTTGAACACAACGATATGTCACTTTGCTAAAGCAAATCATATACTTGGTATGGGTTTTTCACAATATCTTGGAAGTTATATTTTGGGATTTTAGATAAAGGTAAGAAAAACACACTTTTTATAATTAGATTCAAGAAGTATCTACAAAATAGGTTTTGAAATTTTATGTTTTTTAATTCTAAATTTTCTTTCAGTTTTTTTATAATAAAAAATAATGTAGATATTGTAAAATCATATTTCAAGTTGATAGGAATAAAAATAGTTCAAGTAAAATAGAATTGAAAATGTGATTATTTCATTTGAATGCATCAATACTAAAGATTATTGTAGAACTTTATAGATAGTTTAATTGTCATTGCATCTTTATTATATGCAATTTAGTAGGAGGTTGAACACATTTATTTAGAATCTGCTTTTTTATTATAAAGTACAATAAATGAAAAAAATCCAAGAAGCTTTAGAAATTACAAAGACATGCAAAGATTGAAAACAAAAAGAAAATCTATACATACATACATACATACTTACATATATACATACTTAAATACATACATACAACAGTTCTGTGATATTAAAAATAAATAAATAAACATTTTAAAAATCTGATCTTTTCATGCTACTGCTATATTATAATGAAATATTTAGATATGAAAGATATATATATACATATATGCAAGAAAAAATAGCAACTACACTCAATTACACCTCTCAAGTTGATATTTGAATATTTGATATATTTGTGCAAGATCTTGCAAATTTTACTTATTTTTTATGTATGTTTATGCAACCAGATTTTCCTAAGTTGCAGCTAGCTTGGATTTTCTAACTAAAATAAACAGTAAACTATGTATACTCCTTCAAACAAAGTTAAGCCAATTAGAAGATGCAGTTCAAAAACTGAAACAGCTGTAAGAAATAACATCAAATTATTTTTGGGTGGTTCAATCTATGGCTTGTGGTTATTTTGATAGGTGTTACATAAAAGAAATTAATTAACTAAATTCATCTACCTAGTCCAATAAACATGAAATTTTGTATGACAAATTTAGCAACCTGATAGTTTTTAAATTTAGGAAACTGATAGTTGAATCTGTTAATATCAAGTATAATTTTTTTGAAACATTTCAACTTTTATTGATAATTCACTGTACTGTTACATGATTAGTAAATTTTAAACTATCTAAAATAATTAAATTTTTCTAATTAAAAAAATTATATGAATTATGAGCAGATTATTTAAAATCAACATCTCTGATACTATAGTAGTTTTTGAACACGGATACAATTTAATAAAATACTTATCAAAATTTATATTTATGAAATTTACCTTAAATCCAACATCATATCTGAAACAATAAAATAAATAATCAAACACCATAAGAACAGATTCTAACCTAGGTTTACACATCTCAACAGTTTGCAATGAAATGAGTTTGTATGACTGGTTGGAGTGATTAAAGGGTTCAAAACCTGTGTCAAAATCTGATGCCAATTTATTTGTGAACTACACAATGGAATAGAAACATGAGGTGATGCATTTTGTACTAAAACACATGCACCGAGTGATTAAGGTTTTAGTATTGGGCCCAACTACATAAATGCTAATGCACACGACAAGCAAATGTCTTGGATTTTCCATTGTAGGATTCGACATGGATTGAAATTGCAACTATCAAGGCACCAACTATAGGTGCTGAAATTGCTACTTGTTCACTATTGCAGCAACATATACAAACTCAGAATTTATGAGCTGGGTTCATACTAAACATTGCCTGTAATGGAATATGAAATTCACATGACAATCGTAATGTTGTGTATTAGGTTTCTTGTTAATCTTTGATGGAATCGTTCATTTGTGGGTCTGCAGTTCATATGTTCCCAACTCAGGTCCAAAACTGTTGCACAGTTGGACACTTCCAAGTCCCTCTCTAGTCCTGATTAAATTGAGATGTTAGCAATAACAATTCCAACAGAAATTGTGCCACCTTTGAATCTGGAATTCATGGCGATGAAAAGACCTCACAATTCCAGTTCTAAATACCAATTGCCTAGGACGGTTGCAGCAGAGGTTGCGAAAGAACGGAAACAAAAGGCTGCACATTGTTCCAGATTTGTTCGAAGTTGATGACAATGTATGACAGACATTAGTGTGGATATGAGTATCACTTCTTATTGTTAATATTGTTGACAGTAGCACAACCCTTTTCTAACTGGAATAAACAACATAAAGCAGAATTCGGTATATAGACACTGCCAGAAGCAATCACACAAGAACAGTGCTAGACAGCTCTTGAATAAACACAAACAGAACTTGCGCATTGTTTCCTGCTCGCCCTCAATTGTGATCAAATTTGAATGAGCCTGCAACTTCACCAACTTCATCTGCAGAAAGTTGTGGCAAACATCGCCGAGGGTGAAGTGAGGAACTCTAAGGGAGGCTTTACGGAGACCCTTAAGAACTGAAACAAATTCATTCGAAATATGAGCAAATGAAGGCATTGAGGACGGTCATTACCTTACCGATCTTAAGATAAGAAAGGAGCAACTTTGCTGAGGACTTCAACCTTCAGCTGGGAAAAGTTGCCAGAAGGGTCGGGAATCAGAACAAGCACATCGCCATCCTTCACACTAACGTCCACAGTCTGTCCCTCCAGAGTCTTGAACTGGACCTTATCCTCCGCCTGAGTAATGTCGACGGTCACTATGTCTGTTTCGACTTTGACGTCTTTGTCGTCGACGAGGACGCCCACCTTCATCTTCGCTGGGTTGTAGACAGCCACGGAAGCGTCTGTGATCACCACTGTAAGCATAGCCTCCAGAAGTCCGACCAACAGCAACTTCTTCCCCTATGTAGCCATGGTTTTGCAGGATGTGAGCTCTCACACGTGTTGTGCTAGCAAATCAATGGGTTGTGCAGCACTGAGGTGGGGTTAGGAACTTAGAGATGATTGGAACCCTGCGGTTGTTCTGGTCGGGAGAGACCGGATTTTGTACTGCGTGAGGAGGAGGGATCGTACACAGTCAGGAAGGTGAGTAAGATATGGGCTCTCGAAAGTTGGTAACGCTACGTTTCTGTCATCGTTGCGTGAATGACAACTTCACCCTGCCATTGCACCAACCCGAAAAAAATTTGCGTCTAGTTTCAGAAGTTCAATTCGTGGGTGCAGTTCAGATTTTTGTGAGGTCCGAGTGTCTGATTCTTGTTTGCAACTGTTTACACGCTTGTTTGAGATGCTTGATGGGAGTTTCCACATGGAGCTGCACTTCAAAACTCAAGAATTCTGGCGACTGTTGAAGGTAAAGATGAAAACCCTTCAGCTATTCCTGGCAAACATGCCTCAGGCGTGTCCAAGGTGAGGCGCTAGTGGTAGATGTTGTAGGTGCAGTTTCATGCTGCAAAGTTGTACATCTTTAAACGCACACAAACACCGCGGAGCCGTGTGGATCTCTTCTGTTACAGCTCCCTTGAGCTCAGTCCTTGCACTGGAAAGGCAGCCAATGTATACATTAACTTGGACAACAGGTCTCACCATCCGATCACACAATGCTTCTCAATTTCACGTCAGGGCGCGTCAGCAGAAGAAGCTGAAATTTTCATGAATGCTCTGGAGAAAGGTCTGGAACAGTTATAAAGTAGGGCATGTAGTTCCTGCATTTCTAACAACCGTTGTACGAGACAAGGGTGTTGGAGCAGGAAAGAATTTTGCGGGACAGGGAAGGTTCGTTGTGAATCAGTTGTTGGTAAGTTGTCAGATTGCGATGTGGTCGTTATTTTTATAAGCCGAATAGCTCACTGTGTTCGTGGAGTCCGTAGAAACCTTTAGATGCAGTCATTTGAATCTGCCTCTTATTATCGGTTTTCAGTTTTTAAAACCATTCAATTGTAATAACTGCTACAGATTGACATTCAATGCTTGCTCACTTTCCGAATTGACGAAACTTTCCGTACACTTCGTCTGCGTTTGTTTGACCGCTCCCTAATTTGCATCTCTTGAACTGATTTGTAGCTAAGGTGCCGTGGTGGGTTCGGTATTATTTCTTAAAAAGCATGTTAGAGCTCAGCTGCTACGTGAGACAACAATAGGGTTGGCAAACAACGCCGAAATTGACCACCGTAGCCTGTGTACTCGAGGAGTAACTTGTAAATGTGCTGTGGTAAATCCTACAACCTCTCTCATGCACTTCTCGAAGGAGTTCGCACTTTAGGTAAGTGAGTTCCCAGGTGTGTAGGTCTTTCAAGTACTGCATCGACATCTACTTCCTAGGATTGGACCACTGATCTGAACAGCTTCTTGATTATGTGTGTTTTGTGAATTGACATCCAGCATAAGGGTTTACAAATTGCAAAACCTGCGCGCGCGAACAAGACGACATCACAATTCAGTTCTATCTGGCTCAAACCAGCTCTCCTACATAACTCCTACTCAAGTTATCAGTTGAATCGCGAAGGCTTGATTCAATTTATGAAGCAATCAATTTTAGGAATTCGCAACATCCCCACAAAAGGAACGCATGCATCCAGCTTTAACGTGAATTTTCTGCCGAGCATATTATTGATGTGAGTGGAGCTGCACAGCGCTTCTTCTTAGGTTCTCAGAATTCCCTCTACAGCCCTGAAGCCTTCTCTTTTCCAGTCGGGGTGTCTGTTGTCCCATACATTTCATTCCTATTCAATAGCCCTCAAGGATTCAGTACTGTGAAGCTTGATCTGCAGAGGATTGTAGTGCAGTCGTCCGAACTTCAAGGACCATGGTCCGAGATTTACAATGCATGAGATGTGGTTGACGCGCTTGCCAATGCGCTGCAGTATGCGCGTCATCAGTTGGTGACGCTCATGACGACTTTCTAGGGCAACTCGACGCGAATTAATGACAGATGTGATGCGTACAATACTTGCTCGCTTGTGAGCTCCGGCCGCTTGTATTCACTTTTGTAGTGTTTACTGAGAATAGAAGATCACGAGTTTCAACAGCAACGTCCTTCTGCTTCACATCAGTGATCAGAGTTGTGGCAAATAATCTCGATTCGAACCTCCCTAGTGTATTCTGCGACATGCAATGTTTGCTTAAAACACTTCTCGTATGGACACAGGTAACCTTCATGACCTGTCTTTTTTCGGATCTGAGTTTTATTTGCCCTCATTACGCGGTATTCTCTGCCTTCAACTGCTGATTGTCAACATAACCTACAGCTGCCTAATGATCCTTCTTCATGATAATTTGTCATTGTAGAAGCCAATAATTTGTGGAAATACTCTGGTGTCAGAGGGAGAGGTTAATGCATTGAAGGCCACGATCAGACGAAAGTATACTGTCGGCAGGTCATGATTTTGTGGCTTAACGTGAAATCCTGCTTACTTGAGAGCGACCGAGCCCACGGGTTTGTACCGCAACGCTTCCGACAGTCTCCAAAGTCATCCTTTAAGCTTATGAAAGACCCCATTCATAGTGGAGTGTCTAGTTCTCTGCTAGGGATTGCTGTGTAATTTGCCCTTGGCGTGTTCGGTGCAAAAAACGAGTCCTTCACACGCTTTTCAGAAGCAAAGACAGCACAAATTGCAACAACTTGTACGTGCACACAAGTGAAACCCTGTGTCACAAATCAAACCATGCCTGCAACGAAGTTCATCACATAAACTGCAAAAAATCAAAAATTACAAAGAACATACTATGTGGCGACTACGTGGCAATAACAGCTGGGAAACAAGCCCATACTATCCCACAAGCCACCCGTCCAGACAGACGCTTCCACAACCCCCTCCCGGTGAGGATATCATTCTTCAGACCCTCGACGCCACTTGAACTCAAAAAAAAGGTAGTTTATATGGCATGAGAGAATGAAACTGGGTTCAAATCCTGAAACTCAACAAAACGCAGCCTGGTTTCTCAAGTTTCTGTTGCTTCGTCTAGGTTGTCTGCCAATTTGTGCAACTTATATGATTATCCAGCTTATTCAAAGAACAACATTCACTTCGTTTTAGATGTAACCGCACAAGGACACCCTATCTCTTGACGTTTCTCTTTGCTACGAAGTTAAGTTCCTGCAACGGGAACCCTAAACTACGAAACCCTATGTTGCTCTCTCTCTCACTCTCTGTTTACAACTGCTGCTACAACTTTTTAAGGTACTCACATGCAGTTCAAAGCTGTAATGATCAGAAAAAGGAGGGTACTCGCCTCTTCACACTAAACAACAATAAAAACAAACAAACAAACAAAATCATGGATGGATCACAGGCGCGCACACTCTCTCACACACACAAGGGGATATGATTTGGGAGTGTCATACTGGGCCATGATACACTTTTTTCTTTGTTCAGAGTTGTAATGTCTAATTTCTTCTTCATTTTGTAAAATGACTGTTTCTTAATAAACAATCGCTAGTTAATGAACTTTTCAAAGGTCAAAGATGATGTTATTATTTGTGGTGCATACTCTGCAATTCTTAATTGCTTTAATGCAGGACAAGTATTGCATTCATACCTTCTTTTTATGTTATTTTACTTTGTTTTCTTTTTTCTATTTTCTCTCAAAACTGGGTTTTAGGTTTGAAATTTTTATGAAAATCAAAAATGTTCATTCATATACATACACATACACACATAGAAAACAGATTCCATTCAAGCTTCAAACTACATAAGGTTTTAATGATATGTATGAATATGTCAGATGAACATCATTCTACATTTGATGAGGTGTTGTTATAAGAGTTACATGAGTCATGATGTGTAACTCAAACTTTGAGTGTTTATTGTAAATCACCATTTATCAATATATCTTTGGTTACATGTTCATTAACTTTTTTTTTTATCACACCTAAACCAACTTTTACACTACATTCAAATTCTTTCCGATGATGGAAATTACCCACCATCCATAAGGACATAACCAACAAGTGTATATGACATTCTTGTGTCCTATAAGAACAAACCATTGTAATAATACCAACAAGCATTTGTACTGGGCTTTGGGGGAGTAAACAAGACTTCATATAAGGGGTGATAATAAAGAGATGAGGGCTAAGGGACAATGAGAGAGAATGGGGTTTATTATATGGGACAAGGTGGGGGGGATCAAATCTAGGGGATTTGGCCAAAGGACTCCTTTCTATATCACAAGCCCTTCCTCCTCTTCATCTCCCTTTCAAATCATGTTGTGCCTTGAATAGAAAAGTAGCCGTGCTTGAGCGAATAGAACAAGAAAAAAAAAGTGGGTCCTTCTTCCTCACGACCGCGATGGCCACAACTATGGTACCCACTCGCCCATTCTACTTCATTTTTGTTGCTCCTCTACTTGTGTGTGCCAAAAGGTGCTCTTGTTGTTGATGTTGTTGTTGTTAATGGTAGTGGTTAAGGACATGGATATCTAAAGGAAGGGCAATTCTAATTTTCAAGTACATGTAAACATTTTTTTGGTACGTCTTGAATTGCTGTCATGGGCACTTGATTTGAAGAACATGTAATTATGGTGGTGGATTCTATGTACAAACTAATCTTGGTGTATAAATTATAATAATGGTGATGTTGATGACACATATTATAAAGTTTGACATTCAAATTAACAAATAAAACTTCTTTTCTTTTTTCTTTTTTCTTTTTTATTTATTTTTGTGTGTATGTGTGTCTTTAAGTAGTTTATTATATTTACAGTTTTAGAATGTTAATGGAAAAAATCACGAAAATATATGGGTGAATATGTGCATTTGATGGATTATGTTGAGTTCTTTTATTAAATCCATATATGTATAACAAAATTTAGAATTTTACTTCTATATTTTAATTCAAGTTGATGCAACATCAAGCCATTATTAGCATGTTTTTTTATTCTTTTCAAAAAATCTGATGTGTGGTTTTTCAAAGTAAAATAAAAGTATTTTGCATAAACAGCTATTTCAGAACAAAATGTGTCTAACCAGCTAACAACTGTTATAAGGATTTTCGAAAATGCACAGGGGCAACTCTGAGGAATGTGTTCTATTTGTACACAGTTGTAAAAATGAGGTCTTTTATCGATTATATTTATATTTATAAAAAAGTAATAAAATTTATTTTAAAATTTTAGAAATCTAAAGACAATTTGATAACAATCAAATGAATTATATCAAAATCAAACTATCACAAGAAAATATTTTAAATTTGAGAAAAATAAAAAATAAAATCATTGACTTTGTACATTTTATTATACAATAAAATTTTTAAAATATAAAATATAAAATATTGTTTTAATTTTTTTTTTTATAATGAGACAAAACATTATGGTATATATATCTTGTGCAAAATTTATTTTATTTAGTGACATTACATGCACATTGTTCAACTAAAAGAAGAAGGATAAGTAAGTAGTAGGTAATGAAAACAATAATTTGATTATTCTTTCCCTGTTAAGATGCAACCTAAAAACTTCCTATACATAAAAATTAATCCTCTTTTATTATGTCCATTGAAATGATTTTAAAGTATTTAATTATTATTTTTTATTCATTTAATTTAAATAATACTCAAGATGAATTACAAAGAGCTATTTTGAAAATTTTCTATTAAATCAAAAATAATTAGCATTTACTGTGAAAATTAATCAATGCCACTTTTTGAATGGTCCACAGAATACTGATATACTTAGAAATAATATATTATGCAAAAATAATATTTTTGGCAAAGTCAAACAAAGATTTACTAAACTCTATAAAAAGTATGTCATTAATAAATATATCATTAATAAAAAACATCTAAAATTGATTTTTTACTTCACATGCAACCACTAAAAAAAATCGAAACAGTACATTACAAGGTGGCAATCCAAGCCAATAAATAAAATCCACGCTGAAGTAGTGCCATTTTTAAACTTCATAAAATTAAAATTAAAATCATTAAGCATGCTATGTATCATTTAACGTCTAATAATAAGGTACAAGAATATAAAGTTATAAAATAATAAAAATTTATACATACAATTGGACACAACATTCATGTAACTTTTAAAAGAATAATTACCAAAAGCGGCAACTTCTGCATACTACCAAATTACTATACAACAATTTGGTATCAATAAACAGTTGTTGATATAGAAAAAAATCCAATTGAACATTATATTATTGTTTTATTCTAATTTTGAAATTGAAAAGTGTAATCTTGAACTCATCTTCGATATATCCAATGTAAAAAATCCATTTTCTAATGAATATTTTTTTACTTAAAATTATATTAAAAAATTGTAAATTCTTTTAAAATTAATATGTACACTGAATAATTAATATATATTTTATTTTTAATATTGTGAAAATAATAATGTTTATATGTTTTTATATGATAACATTTTTAAAATTTTAAATATATTTATCATATTTTAAAATTATTATAAAATATTTTTTATTATTTATTTCAAAGGTGATACAAGATAAATAACATGTGTTTAAATTGTGAATTTATTACTGCGATTGAAATTAAAATTTAAAAATCACACTGTTCACTTATATGCATTATTTATAAGGATTTTGGTACCGATTTGATTTATGCATTTATTTTTGTGACCTCAAATAAATTATTATTGCACTGAGTATAAGCCTTTGATGTTAAAAATTTTAATTTTATTTTATAGATTAGAAACTTTAAAAATAAAATAATATTACATTATTAGATGGAGTTCTAGATTCAAATGAAGATTTAGATTTTAAGCACTATTTCTATAAAAGATTAAAAAAATTAAAGTAAAGAAATTACTAAAAAAAGAAGAACAATATTTTAGATTAAAAGAAAGACACTTTATTAGAAAAAAAATATATACAAAAAATACAAAAAAAAACTTAAATTTTTTTAAAACTTTTATTGATAAGATTAAAATATATTTTATTTGTAACTTTTAAATTTATAATATCATCATTACGTCTTGGAAAGCTTCTAAAAGAGGATTTTTTTATAAGCTATGTATTTTTAAAATTTTAAATAAATATTATTTTAAACTTCTAAAGAACTAGTTAAGATTTTGGATCACTATAAAAGATTATGGAAAACATTTAATGGTTTTAAAGGTTATAAAAAGTAATAACCATTTCAAGAATTTTTTAAATTATTATTAAAATATTTTAAAGAAATTAAGAAGTACTTGAGTACTTGAAGTACTTTAATACTTATAATTTTTTTCTAATAAAAAAATTTATCTAAATTTTGGATTTAAAACATATTTTGAATACAAATGTCTGAGTGCTTAACTAAATACTACCATTTTGTAATAACATGATTAAAGTTTAATAATCTTCTTAAAATTTTCCCACTACAAAACTATACTTAATACCTAAAGAGATGTACATTATTTTGAGAATATTTATATGATGATAAAGGATATAAATGCAATTTCACTTTGTTATGTAGCTACAATAATAATTCAAGTTTAGAATTTTGAGACTCTATAAAAAGCTTTCAATTTGTGACATTTTAAGATTTGTAGATGTAAGTCCAAAAAACATTGATATGTAAAAACACTTAAAATTTAGTAATCTTCTTATAACTATCTTTTCAATTCTAATTATGTATATCTTAGTAGAAGATATTTTTTAAAAATTACTCTATTGA